GGAGGAGGAGGAGGAGGAGGAGGAGGAGGGGGGAAGGGAAAAAAAGGGGCACAGCAAGCGGAGCGAACCGAGCCGGAGCCGGGCCGGGGGGGGCGGGTTGGGCGGGCGGGGGGGGTTCTCTCAGGGGCTCTCGCTCGGCGCGGCCATGGAGGCGGACGGGAGCCAGGCTACCTCGGGGAGCCCCGGAGAGGCGCAGCACGACCCCGGGTAAGTCGGCGGGGCGGCGGGGACGCGGAGCGGGGCGGCGGGGGGCGGCGAGGCGGGCCCGCCCCGCTCCGCTCCGCGCCCCTCCGCCCCGCCGGGAGCTGCCCCGTCAAAATGGCCGATCCCGCACCGGCGCTCAACTCCGCTCTGCTCTCTCCCTCCAGCAAGATGTTCATCGGCGGCCTCAGCTGGCAAACCTCACCAGGTAACCCCCCCCCCCCCCCCCTTCCCCCCCCGCGTCCCCCCCCCCCCGGCCCCCGCCCCCCCCCCCCCCCCCCCCCCCCCCCAGCCCTGACCCTCCTCTCCCTCTCTGCTCTCTCTCCGCAGACAGCCTTAGAGACTATTTTAGCAAATTCGGAGAAATTAGGGAGTGTATGGTCATGCGGGACCCCACCACCAAGCGCTCCAGGTAAAACCGCCGCCCACCCCGCTCGGGTTGACAAAACTTCGCGAGTTGCCGTCGGGGCGGGTGGGACCCGCACACCCCCCCCCCAAAATCCCACCCCGAAATCCCGGTCCCCGCATCCCACCCCGCGCGCGGGGCGCTGCGGGAGGGCTCTCCCCGCCCGCATCCCTCCGGTCCGGAGCAGGAAACAAAAGCGGCCGGTGGAGCCGGAGCGGGGCCGGGGGGTCGCGGCCGCCCCCCGCACCCGCAGGCTCCGGGGGGGGGGGGGGGGGGGGGGGGGGGGGGGAGTGCGGGTCCCACCCGCCCCGACGGCAACTCGCGAAGTTTTGTCAACCCGAGCGGGGTGGGCGGCGGTTTTACCTGGAGCGCTTGGTGGTGGGGTCCCGCATGACCATACACTCCCTAATTTCTCCGAATTTGCTAAAATAGTCTCTAAGGCTGTCTGCGGAGAGAGAGCAGAGAGGGAGAGGAGGGTCAGGGCTGGGGGGGGGGGGGGGGGGGGGGGGGGGCGGGGGCCGGGGGGGGGGGGACGCGGGGGGGGAAGGGGGGGGGGGGGGGGGTTACCTGGTGAGGTTTGCCAGCTGAGGCCGCCGATGAACATCTTGCTGGAGGGAGAGAGCAGAGCGGAGTTGAGCGCCGGTGCGGGATCGGCCATTTTGACGGGGCAGCTCCCGGCGGGGCGGAGGGGCGCGGAGCGGAGCGGGGCGGGCCCGCCTCGCCGCCCCCCGCCGCCCCGCTCCGCGTCCCCGCCGCCCCGCCGACTTACCCGGGGTCGTGCTGCGCCTCTCCGGGGCTCCCCGAGGTAGCCTGGCTCCCGTCCGCCTCCATGGCCGCGCCGAGCGAGAGCCCCTGAGAGAACCCCCCCCGCCCGCCCAACCCGCCCCCCCCGGCCCGGCTCCGGCTCGGTTCGCTCCGCTTGCTGTGCCCCTTTTTTTCCCTTCCCCCCTCCTCCTCCTCCTCCTCCTCCTCCTCCTCCCTCCGCTACCGGAGGATCTCACTGGAGAGGCGCTGGGGCAGCAGCCAGATCCGTCACACGTGGGATCGGCTTAGCTCAGCGCCGCGCCGGCGCTCCCTCCCCCCCCGCCGCCATCCTCCCCTCCCCTCCCTCCATCCCGCCCCTCCCTCCCCTCCCTCCTCCCTCCCGGGGGCGGGGCCGCCGCCGGCGCGTGGCCCCGTGTGACGTCACCGTGACGTCACCGCGCCCTCTCCGCGCGCCGCCCGCCTGCGCCCCGCGCGTGTCCGGGACACGCCGGTCCCACGCAGCCCGCCCGGCTCCCCTGGGGCTGCTCCGCTCCCTCACA